GTTCGAGGTTTTATCCACAAGTGGTTCATAGTCAGCCAGGAGAAGTGACGGAAGAATACAGGGAGATCCCATGCTGGAGGGCCAAGTCTGGAAGATTGGTCCATAAGGTGGCATGAGCGAATCAATGTCCGAAGGCCAGCGACAGCGGAAACCTTGGGAGCCTGAAGTCATGTTAACGCCTGAATTACTCGCAGTCTGAAAGACCTGTGTAGATCTATCGGCTCAGGAACTAGAGTAAGTTTTATCCCATTAGTGTGTAGTTGGTACAGAACTGATCGCTGCCCAGTGAGTGCCCAGTGTCGAACCATAAGATGCCTTATACTTCTTAACACATAGGTAATCTGCTACTTGTGGTGTAATTGCTTGGCTGTAGAAAACCCTGGATCTTGCAAACTGGTGAAAACTTTTCCATTTATCGTCACAGAGATTCTCGTTGATTGACGAAGTGCTAAGGAGGCTGCCTTAGCTGCTCTAATGATATTGTCAGAGCTAGTGGGTCCGGCGCTGGGGTCACAATGTTATCTGATGCAAATAGGGTTATTAATAGACAACCTTTTCTTTTATTGCCAGTTGGAATGCTTCGGCCGTAGCTTTCATTCTGTTGGTGATAGTCTGGCTGGTCTGGACAAGGTGTCTGCTAATCCATTTGCCGCTCCCGGTATATGTCTTGCCTTTATCGGTACGTTGAGCTTGTCTTCCAAAGGTGAAAAAGTCAATTGCAGGAGGGTCTCTGATTTCATCGTGCCTTGAAGGTGTATAGTGTATGCCATAGTTGAAATGAGTGTCCAGATCATCAGATGTTGGTTTCTTGAATGTGTGGTCCAATGAAATATTGGCCGGATTACAACCTCGTATTACAGATAACTGATGTGGCAGAGCTGTCTGCTTCTGACCATAGGCCTGATGTTACTTCCAAGTTGAAGTGAGCTCCCCGACCTTGAAGTGAGGCATCCATGAACAGGTGGTTGTTGTATTCCGGCTTGTGTAACCAAGTTCCTGCGCAAACAATCTATTCCACTGTCCTTCACATGGCGAGACGTGCCAACTAATGTGGAATACCAGGCTGAATTCCAGGGCGTCGATGATAAAGGTCGGCTGCAATGACATCAAGCCTCAGGATGATGTCGTCTACTTGACGATTCAAATTTGAATAGGGGAAGCGCATTGTCTCGAGCGTCATAACCTGATATGGAATATCAGGCTGAATCGAGGGCATCGATGATAAAGATCGACGTCGATGATAAAGGTCGGCTGCAATGACATCAAGCCTCAGGATGATGTCGTCTACTTGACGATTCAAATCTGAATAGGGGGAGCGTGTTGTCTCGAGTGTCATAACCTGTAATAGAATATCAGGCCGAAATCGACGGTGTCGATGATAAAGGTCGGCTGCACTGACATCAAGCCTCAGGATGATGTCGTCTATTTGACGATTAAAAGCTGAATAGGGGGAGCATGTTGACTCGAGCGTCATAACCTTGTAATGGTGATTTCTCATAGGAGACTATCGTAAGACAATTCATGGCTGGCAGGCACATGGACCGGATCCATGAATATCCCGGTAGAGAAGAGATGTCAGTATCTCAAGCCAACCATACGAGGTGACTATGCCTGTAAGAGACCAACGAGACCGGTTGGTCAAGTTCGCTGAGATGGTTGGTGCAGGTCATCATATCCCAAGACGTAAAGGGATGACAATCACTGGATTGTCTGATCTGGACAACGGAATGCAGCGAAGGCCTTGTCCAAGTTCTCGTATAGAAGTCCGATGCACGGTGAGAGAGAGGTCTATTGATTCCGTGGAAGAATGACGATCTTATGACTGAGGACGATCCGTCGTTTGTCTGTTTTATATAACAAAGTTATATCTGGGATAACATCTTCTCAGTAAAGTACACATGCTCGTACTTTATGGGGTTGAGTCCCGTCCGGGATTCGAACCCACACTGCCAGAGTAAGGGACCTAATCGCCAGCACACAAAGTCAGCGATCTAACCCACTCAGCCACCTAGGCTCCCTGCAGGTAAAGTCGTACTTGAGGACGAGTTCTTGATCGGATGATGTGTCGATGTATCGATTTATCCATGTGTCGACGTATCGATGTGTTGATGCATCGATGTGTATTGTAGAGTGGAGATCCCTCTGTATCGATCTGTAGGAGAGGTGAAACTGTCGATCCTCCGAGGTACGACTGTCTGTCAATCTAATATCAGCGGCTCGTCGATAATGGTGAAGTATGTCGATAATTGTGAAGTAAGGTGATCTGTCGATCCCTCGGCCGTCTATGATCCAACGAAGGATTACGATCCTGTCGATCCTCCGAGGTATGATCTGACGAACTGTCCGTCCAATAACAGCGCCTTGTCAATAATGGTGAAGTATGTCGATAATTGCGAAGTAAGGTGATCTGTCGATCCCTCGGCCGTCTATGATCCAACCAAGGATGACGATCCTGTTGATCCTCTGAGGTTGTTCCTCTGGTGAACACTCAACATGGTAGTCCGTGTGTCGATGCATCAATGTGTAACATTGAGTGGAGATCCCTCGGGTATCAATCTGTAGAAAAGGCTAAACCCTCGATCATCCAAGGTACGATTTGGCGAAATGTCCATCCAAGAACAGCGTCTTGTCGATAATGGTGAAGTATTGTGATCTGTCCATCCCTTGATCACTCAGTCGTTTACGATCCAGCGAAGGATGACGATCCTGTGAGAGAAGATCCGTCGTCAGTCGGCTATGACTTCCTCGCCAACCATTGTAGTGTTTTCGGTCAGAAGGGTTGTAGCCATTAGAAAGCCGGAGAGGTGTAGCTGTATCCTCAGAGCGCTGCAGAAGCGATGACCTGAGTAACAAGCGTGTTGGGGGAAGAGGCAACCCTCAGTTGACGGCTTGACTTCCCAAGCTGGGTAAAGGGCCGTAATCCAACATGATGACTGTGGAATATTGTTATTTTATGTGTGAAAAAAACAATACCAAACAAAACAACAAACTAGATATGTATACAAAGGCATATTTAGCCAGTTCTAGCTAGCTTTATTTCACATATGTATCGGCATCGGGAAATTATTTGTGTAATAAGAATTCATAGACTAAAAGTTAGTCTAGGTGAAGAGATACAGACGACAGAACCGTGCACTGGCCATTTAAAAGCGAGACGACTGTAGAAGGGAGCCAGGGAGCCGACATTAAAGAGGGGCGTGGTTCGCACAGAGGCTGGAATCGCAGCAGTCAAACGAGACGGAAAGCGATCCTCCTCAACGGACAGCGATGTAACCATCACCAAATTGACTAATATCTTGTTAAGCAAGAAAACATAGGTACAGCCACAGTGGATAACACAATCGTTTGGGTTTCAAAGCGAAGGAAAAAACAACATACACGAAAACCGTAAACAACAACTTGACCCAACAAACAGTCACCTTTATCGAACACTTAGCTGAATAAGTTGAGATCCAAGTCTGACAAGGTGATACCAGGAAGACATCGTTTTTAATACCACACACTCTTCGTGGTAATGGTTAACTTTAGTAGTGAAGTCATGTATTTAAATTTTATAAATTAAAAAAAATTAAAAAATTCTCTGTTCAAGTATATTCTAGCGATAGAATTGCTAATTAGGGTGCTGGATATGCCCAGTGATCAGGTCACTGGGATCATGTCGCACGGGATTTTAGTGGAGCATGAACTATGATGAAGTGGTGATTTGGTGATGTATGGGATGTGTTTGGGTGAGTGGTGTTTTTGAAGCTGGAAACTTTGTTCTAGGATGTTTCCACACCAAGATCGAAGAATAAGAAGAAATGAATAGTGTGAGATAGGATAAGTTTAAAAATTTAAAGTTATAAGAACCATAGGTGTTGCACTTTGGTACAGGTGATTGCTATTGCAGGATATTTTTACGGATGGAAAAATTTGACTAGTCAGTGTAGAGACTTCCCACACTAGATATATTTCGATTGCGCAAACGTTACCAATGACTACACACATGATTACACCAAAATTAATGTAAAAAATATTGCATTAAATTTTGAAAAAATTAATAAAATATTTATTACAAACATAAGTCCAGCTATACAATGAACACATGTCTATAACCATATCGTATAATAATAGGATTAAATTGCGTACTTCAGTTCGCATGTTTTGACTGGTATTACCTGGTCGCACTGATCAGCTGATAATGTTTTTGAGGTGGGGAAAAACATTGTGTCAGTGTAAAACTTTAACCTTGTTTAAACTTTAAGTAAGCTTTGGGAGCCATGCGTTACCGTTCGCTATAACCAAGTTAGCTCTATATTGAAAGGCACAATAGCAAGGGAACAGTGTACTTCAGGTTTGCGCTCCACATCGCGACATAGTGATAAATAGGCCCATGTGTATCGTGTATCGTATCTTGGGTCAAATATCACGATGTACCGGAATATCAGTGTATCAGTGCCAACCTTAGACTTTATTAAAGAGATTCTCAGTCTAACTATCTTCATGAGAACATTCTTGTTTGGGAAATCACATGTCAAAAACTGAAAAAGGGAGTTGAAAACAGTCCCATAACCCTATATACCTAAACACAAAATTCATTAAGATGATGTACTTCCAGATAAATGGCTGATGGTTAGACCAATGACCCTGACCTTCCCTAAAGGTTATTCGACGCCATACAACTTCACTATTCTACATCTACTAGCTTGAGATGCTATGAACTACAGTAAACACTTCTGGAGTTATCATGAACATAACACATACTATAAAGATGCACTTGACATTTAAAATCATTGACAACAAGTGGCAATACAGGACATAGACTTGATATGATATTCCTGTGCATAGCGTGGTTTCAAACAAAGTGGGACAGCTGTGGAATTCTGGAAAAACCTTAAAAACTTCCCATAGCACATTTCTGCATTGCGTAAAACCCTGAACAGTATTGGAGATTCATACTTTAATACATATTTTCCATAAACAGTGAAACCCCAAATTTATTGCTATCCCATGTGACTTACATCATAAAGCGTGTTGAGTCTGAGGTCCTGCATATACAGTAAACTGGCTCTCCCTCTCCATCCCCAGCAACCTGTTCCATTGCCTTGATCAACAGGTTCACCTTTGCCTGGCGCTCTGGTAGTCGGAACTGATTCGCTATCTCTTCTTGCTGAAAGCAATAATACACTTTGATTCATGAGATTAGTGAAGAAAAAGAAACAAAATAGTCAACAAGAGCATCTAAAATTAATTGATACAAACTTGTCTAAGCTGCTATCCCCAAGTCAAATAGAATTTAAGAGCATGGTAAAAACAAGGTCAAAATTTAAAGTAATGCATCAAATGGAATATCAAACAAAAGTTATCACTGATAATAATTCAAAGAATACTACCTCTATTACATCTTTGCCATAATCTTGTACTTTGGGTGTCACCACACCATAACAAGTGTCATGAAAAGATGATGGCAATTATCTATCTAAAATGGACCCATACCATACATCCTAATAAATCTAATCTAACCAACTCTTCCTGAGTACCCTTTTGCCACTTGGGACATCTGGAGATGAACCAGACACAGAGATGGATTGTTTCCGGTGATGGAGGCAGTAGGCTGGAGTGAGGTTGAAGTAGAAGATCTCTTCGAAACGGAAGCCGACGGTGTCTTCCTTCTGAGGTTTACGTGAACCAAATGCGAGCTGGCCAATAAGCGTGACCAATAGCAGATGTGTCGTGACTGGGACCTTCTGAAGCACCTGAGGTGTAAGGGTTGTAGGGAGAAAAGCGTAGGTGTTGAGACTCTCCCACGATATGGCCAGAGCGTCAAACTCCCACGCCTCTTGATCTGGGACCGGGGAGACGATTCTCGGCAGTTATGTGTTGAAACTGGTGGTGAATATGTCACCCTCTGGGCAATGGTAAAGGTGTCAAATCCACTTGAATGTTGGATGTAGATGCCACTGTCGAGGATGGTCGATCTGAACAGGATAGGAAGTCCTCTATTCCGATGTTGATCCCTGGAATGTGTCTAACTCGGGCATGGATACCCATAGTGTCGATCAACTGAAAAAATTCCATCGTGAAGGCCAAAAGGGACGGTGACTTGGTGGAGCTAATCCTATTGATATAACAAACGACTGAGGCGTTGTCGGACTGGATCATGAGCCGCAATGTCAGCTCAATGAGAAGCCACTAGAATGACCGCCTTGAATACGAGATTGTTGGTGTGGAGGGTTGATTCCATTGAGGACCAGAGTCTTGCCACCTGAAAATTCTGAAGGTTAGCTCCCCAGCTTCTGGAGGGGAAGATGAGTTTCCTTCGAAACATCCTTCATAACATCCTTATGGTGCTCATCCCAAGGGCAGTAGCTGAGTAGGCCGTGGCAACGTAAGGTGGTGGTAACTGTCCCTGGATGATGAGTGATTAGGTCCATAACATCCTGGAACTTGACATGAATTAAATTCAGGTCGCCCCTGATGTACACTTCTTCCGATGATTTGGCATTCACACTGCATCAGGAGCCACATGTAAAGTAGACAACAATGGCAGAGTATGTCTGATGTGTAACGTCAAGATGAGCCAGTCCACGGTCTTCAGTGATGGATGTCTTAGAAGAATGCTTCAGATTAAGAGTCGCAATATTCCCATCTAACTCCGGAGTTGTGGTAATGGAGGACATCCCATGAGTTCCAGTCTCTGCAATGTTAAACTGGGGAGCAGACAGCTTATACTTCTGGCAACTGAAAGCTGAAAAGGCCAGATCCAAAGCAGGGTCAACCATAGCGCAACTGCCAGTAGATGAAAGAGGTTAAGCTTGTCTGTCTGGGGTTACTTCTGGTGGCGTTGGCATGGTGTCGAACAAGTTGTAGCCGGCGTAACAGGAGCCGCCTGCAATCCAGTCACTGTTGTGGGGTCCCTGGGTAGTAAACTCGACTGTCCAGAGCGCTGTTGAAGAGCCGCCGACAAAGACTGTAGAAAGGAACCAAAGTCCGAAGTCGATAGGGTAGTTTCATCTCCATGATCCCATGAAGTCAGCAGTGGCTGGAGGGATCGCACTAATAGAACTATCCGGAGAGGAAGTGCAATCTGAAGGATGATTGCGGGTGTGTAGTTTTTTGGGAAGTAGAATGGGAACAAGAGGAAGGTCACCATCAATCCTCATGTCAATGTCGATCCTCATGTCGATTTGGAGGAAGCGCATCTGGAGTTGTAAGATCGATCTGTAGAGAGACGACGCTCAGTAGTCAGAATAATTTTCATTGGTGAGACAGCAATCTCCCATTTGCTTAGTGTTAGGTCCATCTGTAAATGGCTGATCCTCAGAAGGTTGAACCCTTGGTGATTGATCTGTAGAAAAACACTCTGTAGAACACTGTCTTTCGAGTGAGTGAGTGAGTGTTGTCATCCACGTTTTCTGGTATAACCCTACACTTGTGTATTTGTTGTCATTCACTTGATGCTCAGTTAATGAATTTATTACAGGTATAATTAGTGGTAGCACAAAGGTTCCCATTTAGCATTTATTGTGTCTGGGGTAATTATTCAATCTAAATCCAGGTTTGAAGTGAGGTGAAATGTGTGTTATGTAATATGCACGTGGCAGCCCAGCAAGAGGTGAATGATCAGTTGATTTACTTTTTTGTAAATCAACGGATCGTTCATAGTCATCAAAGGATTAACAGAAAATACATTGATTGATTAATCACTGTTATCTTGCGCAGTGGATATGTCAAAAGTGAGTGTTTACATGTCTAGGTTTACTAAAACAAAGGGAATACACTCATATCATGGCGTGAAGTGTCGATGTAAAAACAACATACTTTGTTTAAAGGGTTAACCGATAATACGTTGATTGATTGCTCATTGTTATCTTACTCAATGGATTTTTTTAGGAACCGTGGACGTTATGAAAATAGTTGTCACGTGGGCTTTCTCAGCTGACCTTTGAGACTTGACACCTATGTGAAACACCTGAAACAAACTAAGGGATCAGTTGAGAAACGAACACGGGTTATAATATCCGAAACGATATATATATATATTAAAATATTAGATTGTTACATGTGAGACATGTGACATCGAATAAGTTTCTTTGTACAGCAGCAGACGTGTGGGATATTGTTCCTTTATGTGGATATTCACGGATACATTCCTCAAACACGGAAGCTGCCTAAAATTATACATATAAATTTGGTAGGTTGTAATTATGATATTTGCATTTTGTTTTCCTTCATTTGCTTCAGATTCATTCTCGTTCCTCTACATCTTGGTTGGGAAGTTCTTCCATGCGCGATAGACATTGTTTTCACAAGCCTTTTCCTTTGTAAGAGTGTATATATTATAGTCAATTTGTAAAATGCGGTCCTACTAAATAACGAAAACGTCCGGGAGCGCCCGGGCAATGCCAGGGAGCGTCCGGGAGAATGATACTAAATAATAAAGTGTATTCTATATAATTGTGTTCTTGTATTAATTATACAAAATAACATATAACTTTAAAATAATTACATACACCCCTATTCTTTTTAAATGGTGAATCTGCGAAGCAAATATGATTTGATTTTATTCGAACTGACGAGGTAGTTGTAACGTAGGCTTTAAAGGATACAGTGTAATTTTGCTTATGGAACAAAAATAATGTACATTTATAGTGTCATATTCTGTATAGTATTTCATAAGCAATACTGAAAGACGGACTTTTACAAAAGTTCACGCGTTGCCCCAGAGGTTCACTGAGTGTAAAACGTCCGGTACTATAGCGTCCGGGCAACGTCGGGGAGTGTCTGGTGGGAGCGTCCGGGAGAATGATACTAAATAATAAAGTGTATTCTGTAAAAATGTGTTCTTCTATTAATTATAAAAAATAACATATAGCTAGAAAAAAATTACATACACCCCTATTCTTTTGAAATGGTGAATCTGTGAAGCAAATACAATTTCATCTCATGTGAGAAACACGTACAACATAAATACTTCTATTCTAAACTGACGATGGCATTACAATCTTAAATTGCTATCAGAGAGAGCAATAAATCGCAATCATGGAATTTCGTAGAAACCGAAAACCTCGACAATGGGATTGGAAGAGAAATCTACCAGGACAATCAGCAACCCTTGCCGGGTGTGCAACCGTGGTTGTCGTAAGGGCGTGTTTTGTGAGCAGTGCAAGGCGTGGCATGACACTAAGTGCAAGGGACTCACAGATAAGAAGTTCGAAGAATTGTCTGCCAGCAATAGGGAGTATTGCTGTACATCGTGCAGATTCAACTACAGTGCTGTACTGGAAAACTTGAGGAAGCTACATCCCTTAGTAAGTTAAAACCCCGATTTTTTGCACTTTTTCGTTGTTGATTTAGATAGTTCGTTTTAATTCTTTATGCAGAACAATGATAATATATAACACTATGCAAGATCTTCACTCCGATAAACTACTTAGTTATTAATTTAGATGTTAGTTTTGGAATACAGTTTTATATGGAAAGTATTTTATGACATTGTCGGAGAGAATCAAGCAATACACAATTCATCAAACCACCAATTTGTTATAATAACAATAATTAATGGTGTCGGTTAATCCAATTACTGCCACTACTTAGTATATAGTATGTACTAACCCTTGTGAACACAATCTGCAATTGCCTATACTTGCGTTTTTTGTTATTTTAAGGTATTGAGAGTCTCATTACGGAAGTCCAAGCCCTGGTTTCCAATTTACCTGAACTGACTGTAAATAACAAACCGAACAGCGTGACCACACGTTCTGTTGATGATATTGCTGTGTCAAGTATTCAACAGTATGGTGGCAAGATGCCGGAGACTCCACTGAAGGTGACAGGAAACAGGAACTGTCTGTTCAACGATGTCAGTATTGGTGTCTTTGGGTCAGAAATCAGAGCCACAGAACTGCGAGTGAGGACATGCATTGAAATGACACTGAATGCTCCTTACTACACTGAATTATCAGACAACAGGCGGCTGACTCTTGTCAGTACAGACTACACAAACGCTACCCTGGAATGTGCAAAGGATAAGTCACACTCATCTGCTTGGACTATGCACACTGTGGCTTCTGTTGTTGGAAGAAACATTATCTCGTGTTATCCCCCAATCAATGGCATGATGGATCAGTCTCTTGCTATCCTCATCCGTACATTTGAATCTCGCAGGACAGCTTCCGCCAAGCCCATTAAAATACTTTTGAGCAGGATTCGGATACCTAACCACTTTGTCCTACTTAGTGAGCAAATTCACCCCCCAATGAAAAAGAGGACATGGGCTACAGTGGGACTACCACATACTACCAAAAGTGTGTCAATTATTTGTATGTGTTATATTTCTTTTTTTAACAAAATTATTTATACATACGTTCTTAGATGCAATAAATGTTGTATAATGTCGGTTATAACAGGTAACAATATAACATTAACACTTTAGAGCTATTATTCCAACAAGACCAATAAATAAATAGAAAATAACAACTAATTAAGAGGCTTGGATAGGATCATCGATCGTAGTCATTTTAAACAACTACAACAGGCGATGAATGCTTTACACATTGCCCTTGAAGAGATGACATGTGCATATTTGTAACATTTCAATGAGATCATATTATATGGCATTCTGTAATATTCCTACATCTGTTCCTGATAGTATATTATATTTCACTTATGTTCCAGATCAGCAACTGCCTCTTGGATAAAGGCGACGGTAGTAGTGGTGAAACAAGACTCGATGTGACAGAGACCAGGGATGCTGTCATCACCATCTCACCTACACTATCAGTGAGGCCTCCTAAGATTGTAAGTGCTGATTCTGATGTAAATTTAATCTTTTCTTTGAGATCAGAGGTGAGATATGGTTAGTTATTTTTTGACCAATATATTAAATGGTCATTATCTCTTTGCAGATGGAGCAAGAAGAACATTTCAAAAAGTAGAAGAAGCCTCGTCACGACGACAAGACACAAACCACCTCAACACCTGAGAAAAACGTATGTCACTCATGTACATGTATTAGCTGTATGTCCAGTGAAACCATATATTTATGCTATATACTAATTGCTACATATCTGATATGTCAATATACCAATATACTGTCTGTTAGCAGATGAAACCAGGAACGTCTTCTCCGGTGTTGAAAATGATAAGTACGCCAATTATTGTCTTAATATTGTAAAAGAGTTGTCTTATCGACGTGTATAGACAAACCATTGAATGGTAGTACAACCTAAGATTATTCACTTTACAGGAAGTGAACTGTTCCGGTGCTGCTGCTCCTGCAGATGAAACGATGGACCTTGATCTGACGTCACTCGATGTAAGCACCTCTTTCATCTAGTTTCGAGTTTATATAAAAAGGTGACGAGTTCTCTCTCCATACATAGAGAGAGAATTCGTCAATTTTTGCTTTTTCAATACGAGTCTACGATAATGTCTCAGACGAGGTTCATATTTCACGTTCATATCAACACACGTGACGAATTCTATTCATCATATAATTTTTCTTATTTAAATTTAATTTGCACCCATGAAGATCCGGGTAGACTACGTCTTCAGCAACCCATGCTTGCCCTAAAAGGCAACTATGCTTGTCATAAGATCCGACTAACGGGATTGGGTGGCCAATTTCGCTGACTAGGTTGATGCATGTCATAGATCCCAAATTGCATGGATCGATGCTCATGATATTAGTCACTGGATTGTCTGGTCATACATTCGTGTGGCTTATGTCAGGGATATCTCTCTCATTTATATGATATGATTGTTTCAGGATACAGTCAACCATACATCAGTAGAAATAATAGCACCTCTCGTGTCCACCATGGAGGATTCATCAACAGTTCCCCACCGGCCACACTCCAGTTCATCCACAAGTAGCTATTGTCGAATACACTGGCAGGTTTCCCGAGGTAGGCCTATTTCTTGTGTGTAAAGGTTGCAAATCTCTGTAATAATTTTGTCAAGAATGAAATATAAATCTAAATATTCTAAATAGTAGTCTTTCAGTCAAAAACTGCTCAAAGGCGCTTCTGTTTTCCCCCGATCTAACGAGCTGTATGCGTTCATTGTCGTCAGTCATTTTGTTGATCAATGTGACCATACGCCCTTATACTGCCAATAAAAGTGACAAATGCGCAAGCTTACGAAGCACAGGTCTAGATTTCTGCTATATACTCACGGGGAGAAAACAATAAAAAGGCTTTAGATCAGTGACCCTTTAAGAAAATCCGCACCGATCAATCCTAGATGTGTCACAAAAGTTGAAAAAAGAACAAGAAACATTTTCCGTATAACACTTAACAGGTTCGTAAGTGTGAGCCGTTATGATCCACTATAAGTGATCTATTATATATGATTCATAACTACCGCGATAATATAGCGTACAATCCTACATCTGCATGGTCTTGGCGAGAAAGTCCTCTTGCGATAGAAGATGTCCACAAATAATGAAACAATGAATACTTACAGAGATCGTGCCTGAATCGCTGTCAGTCATTGTCGACATCGAGGTGTACCGTTGCAACTGACTGGTTGAGGAAAGATTAAAAAAAGCCTAATATAACATCACATGGTTGCAGACAATACCAAAGAGCATGCAAGAAACATCGAAATACTGGCACTGAACCAAACACAATTCGTAAACCGCGCTGTTCGTCATCAGATTGTGTGTTGTAGTGCTGTCGTGACAGCTACCTTCAGCACATAGTTAGTGGGGCGTCGTCTAGTGAAATTCGTACGGCAGTTTAATTGGACCTGGGCATTTTCGATAAAAGACAAATAGTTAAAACCTATCCTTAGTTATAGGTCCTCTCCCAACCCAAATCAACCTCTAGGAAAGTGGTTTAAGTGGGCCAAGTTGCTAAAGTTGTGTTTAGAGGGTTGCACGGAAAATAGCGTAAGCAACCTTATCACGCTCTTGCAATTTTACAGCAAAATAACAATCGACAAGAACTTTTCTCTCGTGTGTGTATTTTGGGGATGTTTTAAACATCAATAAATGAGAAAGAAATTTTAATTTTGTCATTTGTAACATCGCGAACTGTGATTTTCGATCCCCTAAGGAGGATGGTTTCTGATTACCTATATTATAAGTGAGAGGTTATCAGGCGCAATCTTGTTCCGTTACATATTTCCGTCAAGTTAAAAATAGATGCGCAACGTTATCTAGTCACATGACATTAACAGACAGGAACAAGCTCCTCACAGCGATAGCATGGAAAGCTCTACCGTGGAAAGGAGAAGAACTGGAATTTAGAAAAAAACCGTTGGGTGTAGGTCAAAACGGCCTCATGTCAGAACGGCATCAAAAGGTAAAGACAAAACGGCCACAGAAAAAGGCAAAACCCCATACTCAAAACGGTGACAACGGCCACAAAAACAAAAAAAGACAAACTCAAGTATTGTGTCACATTATTTGTATTATATACATTGTATAAAAGTTCTTAACACGTACAATGTATCATGTGCACACAGTTCTTACTTCAGCACGAACTCATTACCACACACGTGATTACACAGTTCTATTAGTAGAGCGAGGGGCTTATTGATTAAATATCCAATATTTTCCAATATGGCCACCAAATGCAAGATGGCCGCCAGAATTATCCTTATTTTTGAACATTTGTAAACATTAGGCCTTCGGTTGTTCTTATAGCTTTCTCATATTTGGTATTGTTGTACTTCTCTTTCATTTTATCATTTTTAGATTATGGTACTTCTCTCTCATATGATCCTTTTTAGTACTTGGTAACCATTATGTTTCCAATATATGGCAGCCAAATCCAAGATGGACTTTAAAAATGCCAAAAAATCGCACTTTTCAGTTGTTTATAAACATCAAACATCTATGGCCAACATGAGTTGAAACATTATAAACATCTCAACAAAATATAGATACACAGCGGTGCAAAAATTGTATTTCATAGATGATATAAATATAACGATAAAACCCTTTCAATATTCATAAGACTTCTTTGCCAATGCAGAGTCAGCATTTTAAATAATTGTCCAACCAGTGATGGATGTATCTACAAAGTTTGAAACGGCCGCCAAATACAGCAATGAGACCTAATTTGGAACACTGCAACTTAATGCACAAAATAGATATAAAAAGAATGTCAGTTGCACAAAGTAACATTATGCAAAGCATTATTCAACACATCTGTCATAATTCACAGTATTTTCATAACAAAGATTTTCCGATCCTACTAGTTCTACGTGTTATAAGCAGTGCATGGTGGCCGTGTAACACATAAAGGATACAACCACAATGATCAAACATTTCATCCAGAGTTGGACATTGAAAAGGTATCTTTGTCATCTAAGTTTGGTTGCAAGTTGTTGCCACATGTAAAAAGAAGTGTACACACAAGGCCTGCAACAACACATGTACATCGCGCTATGCATCCTTACTTGCATCCGCACTTCAGTTGCTTTCACATGACTTGGGTGCCTCTTGTAGTTACAGAAGGGTGCATATGAATCTGTTGGAGTTTTAAGCCAACGCCACTGACTTTGACAATGGAGAGGTCCTCATGTATCCAGCATGGTAGGCAACTTGCTTGGTGTGTAAATACAGTGCTGAAGCTGTTGATGGAATAGTCTCAGTTGATAGGTGAACAGTTCTTTTCTGGAATCATTGACATTGCTGCTGGTGCTGGTTTTGTCATATAGCAGACACACAAAGCGCTGCACAATGGGAAAGATTGCAAGTGTTTGAAATGCATCAATGACTTCTGTGTCAGCTATTCAAGTGTTCCATACTGTCTCTCTGCCCTTGGTTGCAAAGAAAGACACTTGGTCACAACAAGCAAATGCATGAAATGCACCAAGAACTTTGGCTACATCTTCTCCAAATTCTGGAGTAATAGTATGTATCGTCATCTATCTGAAGTATTCCCTGTCCTAATCGCAATCCACAAACGTGACACATCCAGTACATGCAATAATGCAATGGCGAAGGAAACCACATCAATGTGCACAGTTCTAAAAAAAAATCATTTGTGTCCATGGTGCGACGAGTATTTGCCTCTTAGTGAGAACAAGGTGAAATAGACCTCATAGCTTCAGTCACCTTTTTGGTCAGAACCAGATTCCCACTTGAGGCAACGATTTGTTTTTCTGTGACGAGGGATGTTATCAGTTCTTCTGTCACAAAGTGGAAAAGTGATGCTGATAAAGGATAGGAAATGGTAGGACAACAGACGAAGAATGTCATTCATGTAAAGCTGATCTGTCAAATCTCCCTTAACGATGTGACCAGAGATGTTCTCTCCTGTGCACAAATTCCTCCCAACACCATAACATCCCTCCACCATACGGCACGACCTAAAAGCAACATGCTGCTGTTTGTTCTCCATTTCAGCGATAAACAAGCCGCCTGCCATCAGCTTGGACAGAAAATCAAAAGACAGAACCGGCTTTCATCAGTGAAGACGACTCTCTGCAAGTCACATCTCTGACAACAGCATACAGTCCGGGCCCATCTGAATGTTTGACGACGATGTTGCACTGTCAATAACTGCACTGTCACCATATGCAGTTCCATATCACATAATATAAGATAGCTAGGCAATAAATCGCAAAGAACAATGAACGAATGTAGGTGTGATTTATTCACGATTAAACGTTGTTCTATTTTGACGTCATTTCTGGAGATTCGAATATATGTGCTCCCTACTTGATGACGTCATATACTGGAAGTCGTTATTTTTAATTGGGAAGTATCTAGTAAGTTGTTCTCCATAGATGTAGCTGGGCTATGTAGATAAATGCAGTGGCCAAACGATCGCATCCAAAAGTGGGAGAGATATGACAATCAGTATTTGGAGAAAATGCACAGATGATCAACGTGAGAATTATGAGAACATGCGAGAAATACTAAACTTAATTCACTTGTTCGTAAAATGGACCTGTACCTCATTTCAGAGGTCGAATTCTATTCAGTGAGTCATCATTATTAAAATTTGGTGAATATTTTTAAACTTTGTACAATTGCAATTCTTGTTTTAACAGAGCCCAGGCTGGGGCATGGTCTTGACATTCCAGTCACATGTGATACCTTTTCATCGTGTTTTTTGCTTTTTATCTATTTTATACTGAAGGGAATAGGCCGTATCTCCGTTGTGTCTACAGCTAGCCTTGCCAGTGTGTCTGCTTCATCATTTCCATGAATACCCATGGAGACGGAATCAAACACAGTTTTACCTGTAGCCCTTGGTCCGATAGTTTTGTATATATTTGTATAAAATATTATTGACTGTGTTTGGTCTCGAGTTTGAGTTTCTGCTTCTGATGGCTTGATGTGCACTTAGCAAGTCTGATAGGATGACTGCCTTTGCTTCCGATAGTTCTGGTATGAGTTTGAGTGCATGATGAATTGCCTGACCATCAGGCAGGCGAAACAAATGTGCTTGGGATTTGAAGCTGTGGATATGGATCCGTAATCAGCACTGTTGTTGATAGGATTCTAAGATCCATCAGTGTATATATCGGCCCAGCTACCCCAGGTAGTTTGAACTTTTGTGATAGCTCCTGATCATAGTGGGGTTGGGTTTTCTTTTTCAGTGACTTATGGTGTTACAGCAGTGTCAACTTTGGGCATTTTTAAGTCCATGAAAGGTGTAATCCTTTGTAGTTGCTGAATGTCATCACAATTGTGACTTAGGATGAGTTCATGTACTAATATGGCTTTAGATGGCTTTAGTGATGCATTTTTTCCGAGCTAGGGCTTCATCTCGGGTGTTTTTGCCTTGCCTTTTCAACAAAGGGTTTGATGTTCGTCCACAGAACGATAATATTGTCTGCTCTCTTCTTAGTTTCAAATGGAGTTCTCCTGTTTCTACTTGTAGTGCTTCTACTGAAGTTCCTGTTGCTGCACCTGTAGTTAGAATTAGGGCTTCATACTGTATTCTGTCAAAGGTGGTTGAAGACAATATTTGATGCTGAGCGAAATGCCTCACAGCCATAGTCTAATTGTGATCTGTGTTTTGTTGAGGTCCAGCTGAGTGTACCTTGATGTGCCCCAAGATGTGTCTGAAATTTCCTGCAATACGTTCAGGTCTTTATGTCATCTTTTTCCACATATTCTATATGTTTTCTCCAAGTGAGGTCTTGATCTAGGATCTATTTCGAATTTGATTGGTTTGCCTTTCATGGAGACACAGAGTTTCATAGCATCTTTCCCCCTGCGTGTGAATAGAACTCCAACAGTGTTTTTTCACTTGAAAGGGTAAACCCCCATTTATTGCATCATTGATCTACTTCGTCCAGGGCTGACTGGAGTTTTTTTCGGATTTGTGAAGTATCTCTGTGCTTTACCCAGGAAAGTTGACATGATCAAAAGGATCATTAATCATGATGTTAAACAGGGTTGGGCTTATAATGCTGCCTTGTGGCATGCCCGTGTCCAGTGACAATGGATCAGATTGACTGTTCCCTATTTTGTCTGATATCGACCTGTCTGACAGGAAGCTGTCTGTGAAGTTTACCATGTCAAAGGCCTTGCTTAAGTCCAGAAATACTGCGGCTAGATATTGTCTGTTTAATTGAGCTTTTTTTATTTCATTTTCCAGTCTTAGAATATGATCTAGACATGAGTGTCCCTTCCTAAAGCCACTTTTATCAGGTTTGATGCGGTAGCCAGTTTCAAGGTGATGCAGAGCCTTTTTTTTGTAAACA